TATAGGAGATTTTGAGAGAATCAATTTGAATACTATCATAAGGAACTATGACATAATACGAAGTGGAAAACCCACATGTCACAGTTAAAATATAGGTGAAGGTCAGAAGAAGATATTACTTTCCAGCTGGAGAGATCAGACTCAGAATCACAAAAAAAGGGTATTTAAATCGTGGGAGATGAAGAAAAATGATATTCCATGTAGAGTGAATAGCACAGTATTTATTCCATGAATTTATTTTTTAACTTGGTAAAGGTAATTCTAAAACTCACAAGAAAAACTCTTTGTCAAAACAATAGAACTCATAAAAATCTTCAGAAGATGGTGTCACTTTGACCACCATGACCTTGTGTGGCTCTCTATGTTCTTCACCTATCTAGAGACATTTTTCTAAGCCATGGACCTTGCTTTCATCATTTAACACATCATTCAAACCACGTCAATAAAACAGTGATCATGTTGAAGAGGGGTCTCGGAGGACTAGATGACACTCCAATTAACCAAGCACATCGAGGCAGATTGTTCTATGCCTCAGACTCAAGAGACTGGCAGAGAGAGGAGGCAAACAAAGGCAGAAAGAGCAAGGACCCAAGTGAAAAGAGCAAAATGCATGTGCTAAAGATGGGGCTTTCGGTCTGACTCCTGCAGAAAGGCCTGTCAGGAGATTATTCACCAGTAACCTTATTATTAAGGTTTATAATAACCCACCAGATAGAATCACAAACCAGAAAATAAACTTGTAGAGCATACTCAGTGAGAATAAGAACAATAGGGACCAGCCAGGTGCCTTTTAAAATGTATATGCATCGTCCTGGGTATAGCAAATGCAAGGCTAGAAGAGGATTATGTTGGCTTATTTTTTGACCCAAGAAGGGCCAACGAAAAACCCAGCTTTTGCAAATATGGCTGTTTACCTCCCACCTACAGATTTATACTGAGACTCAAATGACACAAAAATATAAATGGAGTAACTAATGAGTGAAAAACAACAGTGGGACTCTCTCCTCAAGTCATTATGTGGGAGAAGAGACAAGCACTGAGTTGCCTGTGAAATGAAGAAATTGTGCCCTAAAATGTTTTAGGCACTCCCCACCCTTAAGGATTCAGTAAAATAATCAAACTTTGTAAAACAAAGCCCTTCCTATGTACCAAACTCATTTTCATTTTAAAGCTTAGCTCTGAAGTCTCTTGAATAGCAACCACCAGGGTGAATAGGCCCAGCTAACTGATTCATGAGGAGCTTTCTAGAAGAGTCAAACTAATATTCTAGGGGCAGGATTCATCTTCCCAGTTTATCCTAGTTCAGGAATTTTACTCTTGTTAGTGGGTCTTGCTTCTTTTTCTTTTTCTTTTTTTTTTGCATCTCCCCACTAATTCTTGTCACGAAGTTTTAAGGAAGAAGTGCAATTCCACATGGGCTCCTTTCCCCATTACAGAGTGAACCTACATGAACCCCACAATGGCAATGACCCTTATTTGGTTCCATAACTAATCCACACAAGGAGAACTACAGGACATTTAAAGATCTGTGTTGAAAACCATAAACAAAAAACAGAAAGGGGCCAAATTATTCCCATCTGGTAAAACTGCCGTGCTCTAATCAAGCTGAATAGTCTCATTTTTTCTGTCCTTAAGGGTGATTTCCATCTTTATATCACTTCTGCCAGCTCCAAATATTCCATCTAGCTGACAATATTCCGGAAGACTCACTTTATCCCACAAACACAGGGATGCCGAACCGATGAGACGGGGGCAGTTCTGTCCTGAGATAAAGGATAGTCTGATATTAAAGATTCTTTGCTTAAGGCGCAAATGTACCTGTCTGTGACTTTTAAATGGCACATTTTTAGTGGCATATAGCACCATCTTTTGTGAAAGTGTGTGGCGAGAGGCCTTGTTATGACACCCCATGGGGATACTGACAGCACATTAACAAGGAAAGCGGCAGGTATGAAGCAGGAAAGGGGGGGNCCAGGCTGCTGGAGCAAGGAATTTGTGGGCATTTCCTATGGACCAGTGGGCCACATGGGAGAGAAAATTCTGTGAGTTGGGGGGTAGGGTGGGGTGGGGGGGGTGAACTCATGGTTACTTTAGGAGTTTAAAACAATGAAGGCCCCCTTCTGATTCTGCATCACCAAACCTCAGGGATAGATCAGATTTATGGAGTTGGGGCTGGGGTGCTAGATGGAGGTAGAACTCTAGTTCCCAATTTGTCTCTATTTGATTCTTGTATAATTTCAGAAATTACTTTGCTCAGTTTCCTATATTTTTATCCCATTATTTTTTTTAACCCCTAGTGACCCAGGGGGAATAAATCGATTGACTCAAAACACTTGGAGAAAGGTATCCTCACAAATAGGTAGAGAAATGGCCTAGCTGAGACCTTACATATTTTGATATGTGATCTCCCTGAAGGGTTTACAGAGATCTCAGTGTGCTGGGGGATGGGGAGGGGCTGCTCAATCTTTCCTTCTTTCTCCCAGTGGCAAACTCCCTTCAAGACCAACTTAGCCCAACTGTCAACTCCTCTGGGGACCGCCCCCTGTGGCTTAGTCCTTCATACACATTTTACTGAAGACTGTCACTCTGTTTCAGGCCTTAAGTGACTGTCTTCTCTATCACAGTCTGGCTTTTCTCAGCTTTGTGCAACCCACTCGCCAAGGCCTAGCACATGACAAGTGCTAAAATAATAATTATTGAATTAATGAAAGTTTCGACTCTTCAGAGGGCACACCTAGAAAGGGAATCTTATTTTGAAAGTGAGGATAAACAGAAGAGAAGCAATTCTTAGCAGGTGTTGGCTATGTTTCAGAACAGAATTTGTTACTCAGGATTTGAAAATGCTGTTGAGATTCACATTTCTGTCTATCTATAGTGATTTTAAACAGTGCTTATCACATCTACTCTAAGTGTATTGTGGTAAAAACAAAGAATCTTCGCCTTCAAGTACTTCTTTTAGACTAACTCCCCAAACTCTTCAGGTAATATTCTCATCACATTTGCCCCTAAAAGAACCTTGGAGTTCTCTGATTGTTGAATCGCCCACAATTTCTCAGCTATGGGCTTGAAGCCTCCTACTCTGCCCTTTCGATCACATATTTTTTGTCACCTTGAACCCCAAATGAATTTGGTATAAAACACAGGACTTTATCACCACCTGACAAGTTATATATTTAGTTATCATTCTGTTTTCTATCTTTCTCTTCACACCCCACTCCTCACCAAATGCAACTCCATGAGAGTCAAGACTTGGATGTCCTTTCACTACTCTATTCCCATTGTCTATCTAGCAGGTAAAGCAGGACCTCAACATATGAATGACAAAATAAACGTGGGAGGAAGGCATGGTGAATACTCATAAATGCTCTAAATCTTAAGTCTATTAGGTTCTCTCGCAGTACTGCTATGTCTCTGCATATTATGCCACGCTAGGGTATACCGCTAAGTCACATAGAATTGTAACATTGATGCAGAAAGTTAAAGAAAGACAACAGCAGACTGTTTAGAGTCTTTTAATGTTAGCCTGAAAAGGGGCTTAGTGATCACTGTTTTATAGATGAGGCAGCTGAGGCCCAATAGGAGGGGCAGTGGTCACACAGGGCCACCTAGAAAACCAGTAGCAAAGCTGAAACAGCAATCTAGGTGTTCATTCCCAGCATAGAATTCTCATCTCTATATCATGTAACTTCTCAAATATTCTACAATCTATGAGCCATTTATGAAATACATTCAATGACAAGGATTTAAAACATGCGAAGGGAAATTATATAACAGCAAGACCTGAGCCCTACAAATCAAAAGCACTAGTTTCCCTCCAGATAGGCTAAATGAACAATCCCTTCAGGATTTTGTGGGGAGACTCAGTTTTGAACATCTGTCCACCATTATGGCTCACCTCTCAGCTGATGCACACATATCATATTTCCTCTTAGATTCTCTTTTATGAAGAAGCAGAAGAATATGGTTTAATAAACATTGAGTACTTTAGTTTCGCTTTCTTTCCATAGTGTAGGTGAATTGAGTCTGAAGATATTTCCTTACAAATTCAACTGCATTCATGCATTACGAAAATCACAGAAAATGTATCTGACCAAAAAAAGGTGATAAAATCGTGATTGCAACTCTATCCATGATCTTATTTAAGGAGTCCTTTCTACTTTTTAAAAAGTCCTCCTTTATCTGAATCAATGTATGTGAGAAACAATTCTTGAAGCACTGATGGGTATCCAGACTCTGTAATACTGTAATTCACATTGACTCAGATGTCCTTCTGATATAACTCACAAACGTTTCCTTATAGATCAAGGGTGACTATAGAAACCTTAGCACAGAGTTCTAGTGGGGTTACAGGTAGCACACTAAGATAAAATCCATTCTAAATAAAGCTGTGAAGAGTCAAGACATTAAAATTGTGTTAAATACATGCCCCTCATGCTCCCCCAGATCATAATATAACCCATCCTCCAACATGTGATATGACTATATCGGAATAAGGTGGCACTTTTCTTTCTAATAAACATACAGAACCTATACATCCAAATGAGTAGGGCTGTGCTCTTTAAAGTAATCACCTTTGGAAGTTATATATGCATTCCAACCAGGCTACCATCACACAGAAATTTTCTGAAGTGTCTCTTTTAGAACACAGGTTCTCCAGATTTGTGTGTATGAAGATCACCCAGGGAACATGTTAATAATGCGGATGCTTAGAGATATGGACTTAAGTGGTCTTGGATGGAGTCTGGGAACCTGTATTTTTAAGAAGCACTAGAGGTTCAGTTTTATACAGGTGATCTGTGAGAAACAGCATTTCAGTATAGGCGGTTCCCAAGCCATGCATGGGTATCAAAATAATGACTTTAGAGTTAAACTCTGTGATCACATACGCATAACACACTGCAGGGTTAGTTAAATTTTTTTTTTCAAAATCTTCATTCTTCCTGATAGAACCTGTTACTACAGATATACATAGAAGCATCTATTTACAAAAAGCAACATACCTCCATGAAAGAGATTCCTAAGCTCCAGACATCAGAATGGATTCCATACTGCTCCCCTGAAATTCTTTCAGGCTGTAAGAAAACAGAAGGGAGCTTGTGAGGTGATGTAAGCTACTCTGGGAAACGCATACACTAACAGGAGCTCAACTAAGGCAGGGAGCCAGCAACATTTGTGTAGCGCTTCATGAAGAACAAAGCAATTTTATATGTATGTGTGTGTATTGTGTAGATAATATAAATTATAGGTAATATAATAAAATATAGGTAATACAGATATGTGTATAGTCTTATCGAATTCTCACAAAGTCCCTGTGAGGAAAACTTTATCATCTTAAAAGATGAAGAAAAAATGGACTCAGATTAGTGAAATAATTTAGGCAAAGTCCTAAACTGGTCAGTGAGCTGAGACTTGAGCCCAGGTCCTGTCCTTCCAAATCTAATGATCTCAGCTGTGGGGTGACAAATAACACAACATCGTATGTTACCACTTATTTGCATTTTGAGAGATAGGTCTGGATTACTAGGGATTCTTTCAGTTTTGATTTTAAAGATCTTTTTATTTGGAAATAATTTCAAACTTTCGGAAAGTTGAAAGGTTAAGACAAGTACAAAGAACATCCCTATTTCCTTTGCCCAGATTCACCCACTGTTCAACATGTTATTCCATGTATCAACATTTCTGTTATGTGAACCAAGGAACAGTTTGAAAGGTCCACTGGGGACTCTCGGTCCTCTGTTCAAGATGTGTAGAAAATACCTGGTCTGGAAGGCTAGTACATGCCATGTGTACTCTCTACTTCACAGAATGATTTCATGCTGATGTGGGTGCTGCCTGGTCTCTGTCTCCCCAGGATTTGGCATTCAGTAGGGTGCTTCACAGGTGTCTTTTGAATGAACTCAGGAACAAATGAGGAAGAGGTCTCCCAGAGGTGGAATGGCTGTTCACTGTTACAGAGCTCGTCAGGGCATGGCTGGGATCACAGCCCATACCTCTCAGCCCACAGGTCAGAATTATGTTCTCTGTACCACCCCTGGAGTCCCGGCAGCCACCATCTAATCATCTTTCAGGAGCTCCCATAAGTCCTCTGGAGTAACTGGGGTCAGGGTCAGCCTGGACCACTGCAGATGGAGGCAGTGGGCATCTACCATCCACCAGCAGATGCTCCTGTGGAAGATGTGGGCTAGATGCTCTCAGGTGTGTTGGCACAGTCCTACATCTCGGGGTGTTGGCTTGCAGGGACCCAGGACACTGTAGCCTCCCTCCCACTCCTACCTTAGTGTCCTTACTGCCTTCTCCCGGGACCACAGTCCATAAAATTACAGAAAGCTCTGTCCTGAGGTAGCAGAATGGACTGTCGTCTCTTCCTTCCTTTATTTATTTCTTTAATTTGTAAAACCCCTTTCCTACCAAGAATAATTCTTCCCAAGGGCCACACATCATGTGACCATGTCTCCCAGCTGCTAACAGACATGGTCATTCCAATCCCCTAGTACTTTTATGTTCTAATCCCCCACCCCATAATTTCTCAAGTTGCCTGTTCTACATGAATGAACCCATTGTCCAATTCTTCCTAGCTCAATAGGTACTAGGATGTACTCATACAGAACTGCCCAACTGGTTCTAGGAGTAATGCCATCATCTTCACCTTCATCAGCAGCAATAACATCACTGTGTGCATTTAGTGGAGAATGTCCACGTGCCAGGCACTGTTTTAAGTGCTTTTCATGCATGTCTTATTTCAGACTCATGAATACCCATATTAGATGGGTCTTATTATCATCCCCATTTAACAGATGAGAAAAATGAGGCAGAGAGGTTTAGTTTGCAGCCACTATATAAGGTCAGAAATAGCTATCATTTAATGACCACCTAGTATGTGCCAGACACTGGGCTAGTTACTCTGCATGCTCTATACTTCACAATAATCTTGCAGAGTCAGGTACACTGCCCTTATTTTACAGATGTGAAAATGGAGGCTTAGCAAGATGAAGTGACTAGCTGATGTCTAGAGCTATGGATTCGCATTGAGTGTACTGTTCAGGAACACAGCCAGGGTTCAGACCCAAGTATGTTGGACTGCAAAATCAGGCTTCTTTCCAGGGTGTCAAACTGCCCCCAGAATGAGAAGTCAGGAGAGCCAAATGCTAGTCTGAACCTAGTCAGTACTTCTCAAAATGCAGTCTTCAGACTACATCACGGCCCTGTCTGAGGTGCTCATTACAAATGAGCCTCCTGAATCAGAGTCTCGGTGGATCTGGGCATCTTCATTAAAAAAAAAAAATTTCTCTGGGTGACTGTTTGGCACACTCAGCTCCTGTCATTAAACATTTTCAAGTTTCTGCAGGGACAATGACCTATCTCCCTCTTCTCTGCTTAGTGAATGTCTGATTTATAGACCCCGCTCAAGGGCCACCTCTTTTTTGGTGAAACCTTCCTCTGCTCCTCAGGGAGAATGACAAATTCCTGCCTCTGTACTTAAAATGTTGTTCATGACTTTAATATTAACTTATCACACTGTGTTATAACCATCCATTTGCTAGTCTTTTTCTCCTCAGAGGCAAAGGGAGTGTCTTATTCATCTACACCTAGTACCATGTCTGGAACACGGCTGGTGCGCGGTCACGGTGTGCTGACTGACAGCATGTAATACATGCTTACTGCACCTTTGGTTTCAAGCATGAGCTAATTATTGAGCTCCCTGGAGTGTTCACCCAATGTAACTTCCCCACATATTGCCATTCACATCCATTAGGGACTTCCAGTACCCACGAACATCCTAAAAACCCTCTAGAATCATTAAAAAAATAACCAAATGTTGCCTTCCTCCCTGTCTCTTCTTCCCTTCCTCTCTCCTTCCTTCATTCCACTAGCTGATAATTATCAACATACAGAGTACAGACAACACAAATAAAAGTGGAACCCACACACAAAATATTTTGACAGGACCAACAGTAAGATTAAATACATTCATAGCATTTGCCCACTGGACTACCCAAACAAATGCAAACTGTAAGCTGAAAATAAAGCACAGAAAAATTAAATTAAAAAAGAAAAAATAGCAAAAGTGATAATGGTCACAGATATCAGGTGCAAATAAGAGAACTCCTTAAGGACAAGATTCAGACAACCTCTCACTGGAGAAATTATCTTACAATAAGCTAACAAAACGAGATTAGTGTTGTGAAGCAGTGCTTAAGCATGAATGCTCAGCAAAATCAGACAGCCCGTGCTTCGGGTCGATCCTAAAGAACTCAGGAAGTAGATAAGGACTGGGCAATATGCCCAGGACCCCAAAACTGATACAAGCACAAGATAAGCCCCAATACATTTTGGACTTATGGAGCCGGGACTTGATGGCTCAAGGCGGGAAAATTCAAAGCTGTTCTCACACTTGAAGCCAAGGTGGACTGCTCTATCTTCTCCCCTTTGAAATGAAACAAAACCAACCACCAGGTACCACACTACTGACAGAGGATCTGTGATGGACATTTTGCAGTTACAAAGATCAAGCTGGGTTACTTTCTGACAGGACAGCTGTCACCACTGCGCAAAACTCAGTAACAGGAAAAACAGGGCTCTCATTTGCAATGCCTCTGTGCTGAAGTTTAAGTAAATCCTGGGCTGTTCTTAACAATAACAGTAAGAAGTGGTGCTGATATAAAAAGGAGAGTTTATAGAGGATCTTAAAGGGCAATGGCTCCAAGCTGGCATGCACGCTCCATTCCTTCCAGCTACCCTCTGTGACTTGGCATTTACCCATGACCCATATTTAGTTAACTCATTCCAGAACTGTCTCTATTTACAACACAATACACTAGGGTGTACTTGTCAAAAGCAGGAGGATGCCAAGGTACATCCCTTATCTCTTCTGATACAGGAATTTCTGTTCCGTTAGGCTACTCAAAAAATTAAGAAAGTATGAACAAATACTTTAGGTTAGCATGTAATCAAAATATATATCACAAATGATGGAGATTTTTGTTAAGTCAGCAAGATCCCTGTGTGGGTAGCTGGGTTCACTGGTTAAACAAGGGTTCTGGAGTCAGACTGCTCTAACTCAATCTATCTTCCAGTTGACTAATTCTCTCTTTTGCTATGTCCAATGTGCTACCAAATAGATTTTTAATTTTAGTCTACTAGTTTTGTTTGAGACTTGCTCAAATCTACTATGTTTTAATTGTGGTCTGACATGTGTGTGCAGCTGTTTCTGCTGCCTGCTGCTCCTCCTGGTTCTTCTTCATGTTGCTTTGTTTCCTTGTGTGCCTGCTTTTCTTTGACTAATTGCTAGGATTTGCTCTTGAAAAAAATATTGGTGAGGCTTGAGGCCTAAGGTGGATGTGCCCATCTCAAACCAAGTTCAAAGCATGAAGCTCCTTTTCCAACTCAGGACATGTGTACAAATACCCAGGGTGCAAATCCGTGCTGGAGTTAGTCTATGGCCACAACCTTCCCCCTTTTTCTTTTTCTCCTGCTTCTCTACTTAGCTCCAAGAAGCCTTCTGGTCCATTCCCTGGGACTGGGGAGGAGGGGAAGGTTTAGCTCTGCTTTGCTCTTACACTGAAGGTGAGCCTTTCAGGTTTCGAGCATGATTGGGAAAGACCTTCTCTGAGGCCCTCTGCCATAGGGTCTAGCTTTGGCATATGCAGATGCCCTCAGGAATAAGTAACTTTGCTGCTCTGACATTCTGCTTTCCCTTCTGTTACAGGATTCCATCTGAAAATGGTCCTGAGGGTTTGTCTTTGTAGCTCTTCAGTGCATTTGAGATTTTTGTTTTTAATTTTTAATTTTTAAAAGATTTTATTTGGGGAATTGGGGGAGGGAACAGCATTGGGGAATCGGGGAAGGGGAACAGACAAGTTGCCGTCCTTTTGTTCTTCAGTCTAGTTGTAGAGGAAGTCGCTTCACTGGCCCAAGTTGGTATTATCCTTGCGCTCTTCCCGGGTGAGGCAGTTGCTCACTGGCCTTTGGATGGCTGCTCACGGCAGCTCACACCGGCTGCTGGCCATTCACGCTGGCTGCCGGTCACTCATGGTAGCTTACGGCAGCCCACTGCAGCCCCACTGCAGCCTACGCCATCGCCAGCGACTCACGACAGCCCAGCTCCAGGTCAAGCTGTTATTCACCATCTTAGCTGTAGAGGGCGCAGCGTCGCTGGCTCATGTGGGATCCAAACCAGCAGCCCTCTCGCTCAGAGCTTGTGCTCCCAAGCCAACTCTTAACCAATGAACCACTCGGTCGGCCCTTGAGATGGTTTTAAAAAATATATATATATTTTAAAGATTTTTATTGGGGAATTGGGGGGATGGGAACAGTGCTGGGAGATTGGGGAAGGGGAACAGACAAGTTGCTGTCATTTTGTTCTTCAGTCTAGTTGTGGAGGGCGTTGTTTCACTGGCCCAAGTTGGCACCATCATTGCATTCTTCCCGGGAGAGGCAGATCAGTCACCGGCTTCTGGATGGCCGCTCACAGCGGCTGCTGGCTGCTCACGCTGGCTGCCGGCTATACACGGTAGCTCATGGCAACCCACTGCAGCAGTGGCTGCAGCCTACCCAGTAGCCGGCGACTCATGGCAGCCCAGCTCCAGGTTGAGCTGTTGTTCAGCATCTTAGCAGTAGAGGGCAGTGTCACTGGCCCTCATATGTGGGATCCGAACTGGGGCCCTCTGGCATCCCAAGCCAGTTCTTAACCATCGCGCCACTCGGCGGGCCCTAAAAAATATTTTAACTAGCATTTTTCAGCACAAGATTTGGTCCAAATAACCTACCTAACCTGCTATTATCAGAACCTAGAAGCTGGTGTCCTAATTAAAATCTGACTCTCACTACTTGCCAACTCTGCGACCCTGGGCTAGTTCAAGTTACTTCACCTTTGGTTTCCTTAGCTACAAAATGCAGGCAGTCCCAATGACATGTGTATCTCATGGGGTTGTGTGAAAATTAAATGAGTCCATGTGATATGCTTGATTGAGTACGTGCTACGTGGGGAATGCTCAGGAAATGTGGGCCTCCTTCCCATCATCACCACCAGTATTACCATCACGGCACAAGCATGACCAATTGAGTTGGATCATGTAATCTGTACAGGTTTTATTTAGTTAAAGATAATCTCCAAGGATAGGAATAGGTTGGGTATAAAAAATGTTCGGGAGATAAAAAAAAAAGTCATTTAGATACTCATCCCAAGGGATAAGTATTTGAGTAAGATTTTCTTTTTTCTTTTTAAAACTTCAGTTACTCATAACAATAATGTTAAACTTTTATAATTGATTAAAAAATTATAATAAACAAACCACAATAACTGAACAGTGGGTTAAAGTTTTAAGGACTTCTATCTTCAAAATAGAGAAACATTTTTAGAAAGTAGAATTTCTGAGAAATGGCTTAATTTAATATAAGACCCAAAGCCTTATGGACCCCTTTTGTAAACCTTCTGGATGAAATCCTTTCGAAACGTAATTGAAAATCTTTCTTGCTTTGGATTAAAATGTCTACTGAACATGATGATCTGCCTCTAAAATGCAATGTGTCCTTGAACATGCCACTTCACTCGCCAGGTCTCAGTATCCTCATCAGTCAATGACGAGGTTGGACCAGATGACTTTCCGAGTGTCCTACACGCTCCACTGCTTATTGTGCCTGTAAGTTACTGTTTTTGTTTTTCTTTAATGGCTTAGGATCTTAGAAGATCCTCCCTGTCTTTTTCCTAATTTATCATTTTCTTGTACCTTACACTTCAGGTTACAGAAGGAAGTAAGATTATTTGCTGTGTCTGAGTAATTTGGGGGTCTTCTATACCCTATAATAAAAGATATTTAATATGAAAAATAATGTTCTGCTTATTATTAGTGAAAAAATCACATTTGGAATGCAGTTTTTATGAATTACATTAATTTAGCACTGTGTGAGAGGCTGGATGGACAGAACGAGCAGAATAAATCTGGTTCCTGTGAAGTTCCTAATCTAGATTTGGAGCAACACAGAACTCATCTGAATATAGTGAGAGGCACAGCAGTAGAGAGTTTAGCCTCTGGAGGCTGATTACTCGGGTTTGAATCCTGACTCTGGCACTTATTAACTGTATGAACTTGGGTAAGTCACTTAACTTCTCTATCCCTTGGTTTCTTCATCTGTAAAATGAGACTATTATCTACCTCATAGGTTGTTGTGAGGTTTTAAAGAGTTAATATATGTAAGAGTTTATAAGAGTAACTGGTATGTAGTGCTAATGAAGTGTTAGCTATTATTATCAGTATTATTGTCACTGTACAGAAATATGTATGAATATGAAGTGAGAAAAATGAGTGTAAAATGAGGGTATTACATAAGATGACCTCTAATTATATATTCCCCTCAATTTATTATTTGTCCTCTACCTCACCTCCCCAAGTGTCATGACTGCTGCATTCTGCCACTGTAGTGCTTAAGCTGCCACAGACAATGTAAACAAGTGGGTGGAGCTACGTTCCAATAAAGCTTTTTTTAAATTAAATTTTTTATTTTTAAATATTTATTGATTCACAAGAAGCTGAAAAAAAATATATATACAGGAAGGTTTTGTGCATCCTTCACCCAGTTGCCCCCAATGGTAGTACTGCTATAACACAATATCATGACCAGGAAATTGGTTCTGGTACAATCTACAGAGTTTATTCAGATTTCACATGTACTCGTTTGTGTGTGTTTGTGTAGTACTATGTAATTTTAAAACTTTCTTTACAAAAATAGGCGGTAAGCTGAATTTGGCCTGACAGCTGTCAGAGATCCTCATGTAGAATTCAAAGTTACAAAACAGACCAGCTAAAATGAAAATCAATTGTGGTTAAAAAAAAAAAAAAAAAAAAAGCCCAACTCTTCTCCCTCATGAGACTGTCAGCAGAAAGAAGGCAGGGATAAGTACCTGTAACAGAATGGGAAGTGTTATTTCCATCTTCCCCACTCTCAACCTCTGACCTCACACCAGTCAGGTAAGTACGTGGCCAGAGACAGCCTGCTGAACTGAGTGACGCTCACTGTCAGGCGATCACTCTTTGCTTCCTGGGTAACTTATGCTTTTTACAGCGTGACAAAGTTGATGACTAGAATTCATTCACCCAAAAAACAAGGCAATATTAGCCTTGCCAATCAATCTGAGCTAACGTTTCATAATTTTAATCCTCACATTTTCAATTAACTGATGGTTGCATCACATTCATCCATAAACAAAAAAGAAAAAAGTAATTTCTTTAATGTACACCTGGGAAAGACAACTGTAATCTGGATTTGTACATTCAAACATAATGCAATTTAATTATGAGAGCAATTTAAAGTTACTAAGAACATGATGGGTAGTTGAGAAGTTGTTTCATTTATAGTTTTTAAATTTTTTTTATAATCACAGTGTTCCATACTCTTTCAAAGACTGAAATTGTGGCATTTGGTGGGGTTTTGTTCATTATAAAGGTGGCTTACCAGGAGCCAGGAGGGTGATTAAGTTTTATAAAAACAGATATGATAACTTCAGAGATGAATATATATATATATTTTCACATTACTTAGAAAAATGAGAATTTTCTTTAAAAACCATATAAGACAAAAATTAACTAGTCTGGTATTTCAATTAAAAAAATGCTTTGTCCTGCTCTGAGAAGAAGATCCAGGGTTTCATCCACACTAACACTGTTCAACTTCATGATATTTTCAAGACTACTGGGAGTGAAATGGACTACTGGAGTAAATCTAAACCCTTCAATAAAAACACTAACCTCAAGATGTTAAAACAAAACTCTGCTCCCAGAATGATACTAGATAAGCTTCCTTGCTTGCCCCCACTCCCAGTGATTGTGGAAACTAATAAGAGCATTTTTATGGACACAAATAACTTCCCTTACTTAAAAGGTGGGAAAAAGAAAAAGGTCAAAGCCAAGTCCGCATTCGTCTTTGAAACAGTTCTATGTTTCTACTTTTTATTCTTGGTAAATTTATTTCAGGGGAACTAAATCAGTTATCTTATAACAGGCAGGAACCCAATAAGTAAACAGAATATAGATGTACGGTTCTGAAGAGAATTGCCTGCTAAACCCTTACATTCAGAGATCCATAAATAAGAGCTGGTCACATCAATAATTTAATTTTTATCTGGTGACAAAGCATGTTTGTATTCCTGGGAAAACACAACCAATCTTATTGACTGACAATTTGGTATAGTTGAGGGTTAATTGAATAAGCAATGTGGCAAAGTAACCAATATGCAATAAGCTACAATTTTTCTGTTGGATTAAACTTCAAAGCTCAGCGATTTCACACTTGAGCCAACCAGTTAAGTCAACAAAGTCAGATAAGTTGGTAGCTCCTGTATAAACCCTAATGTCTTTTAGAAAGATTTAAGAATCGAATCATGACTGAATTGACTTTGTAATTTATGATCTGTTAGGCTAAAGCTGTGGAATTAATTCAAGAATTATACATTACCAAGTACACAGAGATAAAGATGTTCGTTTTAAATGTTATTTTTGCATACGTTTACTTACCGCCATATAAGCATTTGTTCCAACATACGTCTTGGCTATAGAATTCACCAGCTATGAGACAAAACAGTCTGTTAGAACAATATAAAGATAATGTGGAAATAAAATGGGCAATTATTCCTCATTTAACCTACAATCATCATTTCTATAAATCAATTAAAAATTCTGTAAGAGCGAACAAATTTATCTACGAAGGCATTAAAAATGATTAAATCTCTTTTCTTTTGAATGTGATTTCTAATTTAAACATGCACAACATTACGGTTTATAGCAGATAACCTTAAACAATTCACTTCAGCAGGATGCTTACTGCTTTAGTACCCCAAACCCGCCTGATATAAAAAAAGTCAATTGGAAGTAGAATTTGAACACGCTCATTTTTTAGTCAAATGGCTCAAGATGTGAATGAAGCCCCATGCATTACTAGAATGAAACGAACACTAAATACGCTGGAGGGATAACAGACTTTGACAACTCATAATACAACGATGACCTCCGCTTTGGTCTTCATGTTTGGCTGGGAGTAAAGGTGGCCGCAATTCAAATCAACATCACAGCACGCGCATGGGTCACCATCACCGAGGTTCTCAGGGGAGGCCCAAAATGGAAATTAATTAAAATTTGTGCTGCACATTGTAATGGCCCTCCGCCATTGTTGCTCCCAATATTAATTTTTATTGTGGGCCAGTTGGGCTCCCCAGGCACAGCTCCCACTCTGCCCTCCCTTTTGTCTGGCCAAAACGCTTTCATATCAAAGCTGCATATCAATGAAGTTTGCTATTCGTAAGTAGTAATTACAATATCAGCAGTTTTTACTGTCATTAAACAATGAACAATCATATTCTGATGAAGGAAACTCGCTCGGAGATTAAAAATGAATAACACACTCCCAGCCGAGGAGAAGATGCCGAGTTCTGTTTGTCTGGCAGCTAGGTGATTTTTCAACCCAGAGAGTAGAACGAAAATAAAAAAAGTGGAGGACAGCAGAGGGGGAGGAGAAAGAGACATACCTGGGTGCTAACTCCAAAATCACACAGCTTGACCTGTCCTCTTGTGTTTACTAGCATATTGGAGGGCTTCACATCTAAAAAGGGATGAGAAAGTCCACGTAACTCATTCCGTATCTACAGTGCTTGTTCAATAAAAAACATACACGCACACCATGCCTTACTGCAGAAAGGAGATCATCTGTTCAACCTGCAATTCTAATCACAAATTTAATGCAAAGAATTTTATCTGTAGGAACGTGTAAGATCCTAACACCTCCATTTCCAACCATTTCTGGTTTCTATAGAAGGGTTTATTTCAAGTGCAAGTCAAATAAAATCTTGGCTTCCAACAATGGTAAATATACCTATCATCCTTTCCCAAGCCTTTTAGGAAAAGTAGGTACATAAAAAAATATAATCTTGCAAAAGAATTTGCACAGAAGGCTTAGTTTTGCTCTCAGTATGAAAACTGTCACTCCCAACTAATAAACAGCAAGGCTAAAGGGAAGCCAACAAGGAAAGAATCATTCATATGTTGCTGGTAACAGGTCATATCGGAACAATGAGAAAATGAGTGCAGTACTGCTTTTTCCTGGTTTTACGTGGCGAATGCTACTTCAGATGATGCTCAGAAACTGATCTAAAAGATGTGTGTATGTGTGTGCATGTATGCGCTTATCAGTCTTTGTTTCATTTATCTTCCTCTTCCTTTACATCATTTTTGACTGCTGCTATAGTTAACAAAAGAATTCATATAGCTTTTGCCAAGGCAGTCAGTTGCTAAAGGGTTTCTGTGAAGCATGGTCAGTGACAACAATGAGCCTTTTCAGGAAATCGGGGAGCCCACAAAAAACCATCCAAGCATGACAGAGCACACCATTTTTGATGGTTCGGAACAGCACCTGCTTCAATCTTTCCCCTTCAGTGGCGAAAGTAGTCTGGAACAGACAAGTTGTTATATTTCATATAGCCAATAATCTTAATTACCCCCAAACTGAGCAAGAGACTCAATTTTTTATGGAACACTTTAAGAAAATCTGTAAATTAGTTACTCTCCGGCCCTCTCCTCTACCCTGCGAAAGGGTACCCTAACAAAGCATCTTGCCAAGAGTAGGCACTTAATTCAAACTTCAAGTTCAAGCTCCATAATGAACAATTACTGAACCTCACCTACTATGTGACAAGCAATACGTTAGGCACTTCTTCACACGTTAGCTATTTAGTGATGCCTGACTGACTGACAGTAGAATGTAAACTCCACGAAGGCAGGGATTTGGCTCTTTTATTGGCTACTCTATTCCCAGCCCCCAGAAGAGTGCCAGGCAGACAGTCAATACATAATAAGTATTTCTGGAATGGATGAGAAGATAAATGAATGGAAACCATGAACATACAGTATGATTTCGTGTTGATGATTTTGTTTCAGTGATCACGGGGTAGCTATAGAACATGTTTCTGGAGAATGCCCATCAGATAACACACACTGTATACTTCCTTCGGGCAGAGGGCAGGGTTTGCCTCTGTTTGAATACAAGTTGGTATTGCCTAGGCAGGTATAAGGTCTTTTAACAAGACTTTGCCTCTCTGCCTCTGGTTTCTCCAATTTCAATACAAATCTTATACCATCAACATATTAAATATAGCACTTTCACTACACCACTTCTCTCCTTGAGAAGGAAATTAAATATTCTCTGACACTCTCCCCCGCCCAAATGTGAACTCCTTAAGAATAGGGCTGTGCTTTCAAATGTGCCCCAATATTAGCTCAATATGTATACATCATAGATGGCCACAGCAGGCACTCAGTGTTTGCGGAACTGAAAGAAATGTTAGACTTTGCATAGCCTGCTCTGATTTTCCAAATCTAATTCTCATTACAGGCCCTCAACTTTGAATATTTTTATTTTTGGCAACCTGCTCTTTTATATATTGATACCCTTAAACCACTCTTAAGCCACCACATCAGATGGAGACAGTTAATGAACAAATGTTTGGGCTCCTGGAAGGAGATGCCTGGAAATCACAAAGTATTGCTAAAATGAACACATCTTTAGCTTTAATCAGATACACATGTGACTTAAGTGGGTCAAGAGAAAGAATAGAACAGCAAAGTTTCTTCCATATCATGGCTATTGTAAATAGTGCTGCAGTGAACACAGGGGTGCATATATCTTTTTGAATCAGTGTTTTGGATTTCTTTGGGTAAATATCCAGAAGTGGAATTGCTGAGTCATAAGGTAGTTCTATTTTTAACTTTTCGAGGAACCTCCAAGCTGTTTTCTATAGTGGCTGTACCAATTTGCAATCCTACCAACAGTGCACAAGGGCTCCTTTTCTCTGCATCCTCACCAACATTTGTTGTTTGTTGATTTATTGATGATGGCCATTCTGACAAGTGTGAGGTGCTATCTCATTGTGGTTTTAATTTGCATTTTTTTGATTAGTGATGTTGAGCATCTTTTCATGTCTACTGGCCATGTGTATGTCCTCTTTGGAGAAATGTCTATTTGGGTATTCTGCCAATTTTTTCATTGAATTGTTTGGTTTTCTGGCGTTGAGTTGTATGAGTTCTTTATAAATTTTGGATATTAACCCCTTATCAGATGTATCATTGGTGAATATCTTCTCCCATTCAGTAGGCTGTCTTTCCGTTTTTTGTTGGTGTTTTCCTTTGGTGTGCAAAAACTTTTTAGTTTGACATAGTCCCATTTATTCTTTTCTTGTGTTTCTCTTGCCCGAGGAGATATAGCAGAAAAAATATTACTAAGAGGGATGTCACAGAGTTTACTGCTTATGTTTTCATCTAGGAGTTTTATGGTTTCAGGTCTCACATTTAAATTTTTAATCTATTTTGAGTTTATCCTTGTATATGGTATAAGAAGGTGGTCCAATTTCATTTTTAAAAAAATGTATCTGTCCAGTTTTCCCAACACCATTTATTGAATAGACTGTCTTTACCCCACTGTGTATTCTTGCCTTCTTTTTCATAGATTAAATGACCATATACATGGGTTTATTTCTGGGCTCTCTATTCTTTTCCCTCGAACTGTGTCTGCTTTTATGCCAGTGCCATGCTGTTTTCATTACGACAGTCTTGTAGGATAGTTTGATGTCAGGTAGGGAGGGTGATATTTCCAATTTTGTTCTTCTTTCTCAAAATTGCTGTGGCTATTTGGTGTCTTTTTGTGGTTCCCCATAAATTTTAAGCTTATTTGTTCTAGTTCTGTGAAGAATGCCATTGGTATTTTGATAGGGATTGCACTGAATCTATAGATTGCTTTGGGTAGTATAGACATTTTAACAATGTTAAGTCTTCCTATCCATGAGCACGGTATACGCTTCCATTTATTTGTATCTGCTTCAATTTCTTTCTTCAGTGTCTTATAATCTGAGTACAGGTCTTTTATCTCCTTGGTTAAATTTATTCCTAAGTATTTTATTTTATTTTTTTAAAGATTTTATTGGGGAATTGGGGAGGGGAACAGCACTGGGGAACTGAGGAAGGGGAAAAGACAAGTTGCTGTCTTATTGTTCTTTAGTCTTGTTGTGGAGGACGTCGCTTCACTGGCCCATGTTGGTATCATTGCGCTCTTCCTGGGTGAGGTAGATCGGTCACCGGCCTCTGGACGGCCGCTCACAGTGGCTCTTGGCAGCTCACATCAGCTCTTGGCAGCACACATCAGCTGCTGGCCGCTCATGCTGGTTGCCGGCCACACACGGTAGCTTATGGCAGCCCACTGCAGCTTCACTGCAGCCTACGCCGTCGCCGGCGACTCACGGCAGCCCAGCTCCAGGTCGAGCTGTTGTTCACCATTTTAGCTGTAGAGGGCGAGCGTCACTGGCCCTCAATGTGGGATCCGAACCGGGGCCCTGCTGCTCAGAGCCAGCGCCCCAAGCCAGCTCTTAACCAACGCACCACTCAGCCGGCCCTTTATTTTATTTTTTGATGCAACTGTATATGGGGTTGCTTTTTTAATTTCTCTTTTTGGCAGACCACATGCACTCATTCCTGAACAAGGCTACTGAACTGATCTCCCTATTTATATGTCTGCTCTGCTATTGTCTGTGCTGAACATGCAGCTAAAGTGATTCTTTTAAAATTTAAATCAGACCATGTTATTTCTCTCCCCCGAACCTCCAAGGGCTTCCCAACTCAATGCAAAATGCGCAGTCCTCATGCCAATCTCTAAGGCCTGTTCTGAGCTGGCCTCCACTACCTTGTGCTCCCATCTCCCTGCCCATTCGGCTCCATCTCATTTGCCAGGGATGCTCCTGCTTTGTGGCTCCACATCCCTGGACTGCTCTGTTCCCATATATGCACATATACATGGTTTGCTCCTTCACTTCTTTCAGGTTTCTGCTCAAATGTTATCTTTTTAAGAAAAGCCTTCCCCAATCACCCAGCATGAACAGCACCACCTTTCCCACACCAGATAACCCCTTTTCTCTCTGCCCTGTTCCAATGTTCTTAACACTCAGCACCATCAACACACTGTATCTGCATAAGTAAATCTGTTCCCTCACAAGCCCTCCCCTCTTGAATGGAAGTTCCATGAATGCAGAGACTCGATCTGTTTTGTTCATTACTGTATCTATAATGGTGCCCGGTACAGACAAGAAACAGTATTTGTTGAGCAAATGGTGAATGGATGATCTCTACTGAAGAGATGGGCAAATATGCTCATCCAAAGAAGCATGGATTTGGCCTGAAAAGGAGCTGCATCTTTCTCTACTTAACGACAAATACTTCAGAATGAATATATTTCACTATTAATGAATACATTTCCAAACTACATTTTCCATTCTAAGAATCCAAACATTCAAAAATACTCATTCAACAAATATTTATTGATACTTCACCATGTGCTAGACATAGTAGTAGGTGCTGTGGAGAGAAACATGAGTAAGATTCTGCCTTTCAGGAGAGTGCAGATCAAGAACCTGTTGGTACATTCTTTGATCAACAATACTGCACGTGAGATTTCAGGATGACAACACTGCTTTTTTTTTTTTAAAGATTTGATTGGGGAATTGGAGGAGGGGAACAGCATTGGGGAATCAGGGAAGGGGAACAGACAAGTTGGTGTCCTTTTGT